CTTTCTGGGTCAAAACTACTCGAATTTCCTCACTCACGTTGTTATGACTGAATCGACTTTTCAATTCTCTATCCAACGATGCCAAAACGAATTCTGTGACTCGAATCTTTGACAAATTGTTATTGAGTCTGCACTTTTGAGAAACATTTGGTTTGGTAATGATCTTTTTTATTTAAATCGCAGTGTTGAATGGTATAGTTTCTGCCAATATCCTTCCGAATATGATAGAGCCTTTAATTATGGAAAAAGGAGAAAGCCACAGGCTGTGAAAATCTTCATTCAAATTCAAGACTTATGCAGAATTTGGAATTGTACAAATAAACTTTCTTTCTTGTACCAAATGAGGTAAAATGTTAATCATTTTTTTGTGACATAATAACGAAAAATATATATAAACCAACAATCGAACGTGCTCATAAATTCCTTCAAGACAAATAAAAAGCGCAAATACTATAAAATGGTTAGCAAGCATGGGATTTATTTTCATGAAATGCAAATGCAGTGTGTACTATAGTTTGTGCAACACTAACAAAAATTAGAGGCAGTTTCGCAACATTTAGAACGCAGCACCAAACATTAAACATTACTCAGAAAAGTTGGAGATGGAGTACGACACAACGATAAAAAACCAATAATTTCGCTTATTTTTCTAATTGGTGCAATAATGATTTTGTTACTTACCATTCTGAGAGATATGAATTTCTCTTTGAATATTTTATTTATTCAAAAGGTGGGATAATCTAAAAAAGTTTCCCGCACTTTGATTTGACTTCGCTATTTTTTATTAAATGCATTATAAAATTGTTTTTACTACCTGAGAAATTACCATTATTAATTCCATTTCCCTAATGAGAAGTCATGTTTCTCTCTCTAGGCCAATAATAATATATAATAATTAAAAATTAGCTAGGTAAATAATGAAAGATGTTTAAGTGTTTCATTATATTTAGTTTGCCCACATCTCTAAGTTCAAGTGATATTTCATCCATTTTCACTTCTAAAATAACTGTAACACTACGCGCCTCTTAATATGAAACAGCTCGGTATATAATAGCTCACTTCTCGACCTTGGTATATAATATACTATTTTATTATGTTAAGGAAAGGAATTGAAAAAAAAGTTTATTACGGAAAGTTGTTGAATTCAATAACACTAAATAGGGTAGAAGAATATGAATAATGATACATCCGATCGAAAAATGCGGATTGCATATTCGTCATGTGTCATTCATACGGGAATAAGACGCATTTCAATAACGAAGTGCTGATTCAGTAAAAGTGAAGAATAAGAACAATTTCCAAGAGTAAGTATATTATTATCCCAACTAGTTCTGGTTGCAGACAATACACACTGATCAAATGTTGTGACAAATATCATTGACACCATCATTTTCGATTTTTTAAGTAAATTGCAGATACTATAGTAGACAAAGAGTTTAAATTATAGCAGCCACATAACATTAACAACAAATTATTCACCAGTTCCTCTACCGGATTCTCTACTAAATATTCAACTTGTAGGACATTGTTACTGTAACGCAGTAAAATTAATATTTCAGAAATGGGATTTCTGATGATCTGTATTGTAAAAAAATGTATGTATTCATTAAGTTTCTTACAATTTTAATACTAACAAATGATTACCTATCATACAGGACCAAACTATCTACGACACATTTATCATCCCAATAAATATCTTTTTAAATTAACCTTGGAAAATATTGCTCATAATAATGACTTACAAATTAATTCCAATATCATTATTACATGATTCAAAATTAACTAAAAAATTAAGATTTTCGACGACCTCATTAGTCATAAGGGACCACGTCCCTGATTTGTAGGTGAAATATATTTATACATTTTACATTCTACGATTAGGCCATTATGTGTTATAGTTTGTTCTTAAAAATAAAGGTATTTAAATTACATTAAAAAATATCACAGAATTTACTATTTGAAAATACTTCATAAAATAACTATATAACACTATACCTAGAGTTTAACTATAGTTATAATTCTTGCTATTAAACTACAAAAGAAACTAAAACTAAAATCTACATATGTATTTTAACAACCATCAGAGTTAGAATGTATAGTAATAAACAGGAATCGAACGAAGAAGTCAAATGTTTAATAATCGCGGATATGGCGAATTCTATATTCGATTTTAAATAAAAATATAAAAAATAAGGTACCATTTAAGTTAGAAAATACCTTGTGGAAATTGTATCTCCAGAAGATATATATATATATAAATAATCTTTATTTCCTACAGAAAAAGGCTCCAGAAGATTAAAACTAAACTAACCATATTAAGCAAGCATACACACTTAGTTGTTCAAATAGAATCAGGAATTTTAAAAATCCTTTAAACAAAATCAAATGCCTGCAGTTCAAGGGCTTAATAGTTTTAACTGCAGGTCGGTCTATTAATATCGAAGGTCTATTGTCAACTTTTATGCTATTTTCAATAAGTGTCATCTGCACATAATAAATACCCTCATTTATCTATTACTTGCTACCTATACTTACATATAATTATTTTTCTTGCTTTTGTTTATTTAGTAAGTTTCAGTAAAAAAGTAAAAATATTTGTTTATTCCAAACTTTCTATACGCTGTAGGTACACTACTAATGAGTTAAATTGAAATGTTTTGAATTCAATCATTTAGTAGTTTAATACATTTTTTGTAAACACATGTTAATTGTTAATTGTATGATACACAAATGAAGAAAATTTGTAATTATCTAACGCGAGGAAACTCTAGGCAAATCAACATAGAACAGATTAGGTGTCAAAAATAGATTGCAAATCAATACGAAAGCTCCCATTTGAATGCGTCTCCATAGACGAAAAGTTAGGAACTTATCAGCAGCTTCCGACAGTATATACAGTGAAACCAAATAAACATACCATTAAAATAGGTTTCATGGCAGATGCCACAGTGTAGAAGAAATCCGATGGGTCTTTCAGTCAAAGTAATTTCTCAAACAACGTAGTTCAATAACTGTGCTAACCAATAAAGAAATCAGTAAGAAACGTAATTATAGACACCTGGTTCACAAATATGGATTTGCTTTACGCCGCTATAATGGTTTGAAAATGAATGAAATGATTGGAAAAATAAGAGAGGAATTTCTTAACCCTACCGGAGTTTGTTCGCTTCCCATGATAATGAGTATCTTTTGGAAAAAAAAATGTTCGTCAAATAAACCAGAAATTATAATAGATTCTGTTTGAACAAAGTTCAAAAATCCAGAGTTGAACTATTCATCAGCTAAACGCATTGCGCCAGAAATACGAGAAGATGGACAATGGTAATTTTTACGCCATGCTAAATCCTGTGATCAATTCCTTCGTCACAGGCACATCATTCTTTTTATCATTTTTTTATTACCAGACGAATGGTCCCGCAAAATGGTGATCTGTGCGCAAATTTCTCTAAAATTCAAATTTACGGTCCAGAGAACCCAAGAAATGGACGTGAGATCACTAGCGCATCTATACAAAAATTTAGGCGCGACTACTGAAGGTTACAACAAAGGAAAGGAGAGGCGTCATGAATTGAAATCGGTTCACAAATTTGATCATTTTCTCGGATTAAAATTGGACAAAATGTAGGCACCAGACGTTCTTTGTTGATCTGCTGATATGGAAGTGTACTAAACATTCAAAGCATTCTAAGACAAAGAAACATATAATTTATTGTTTTGTTCAGGAACGATTGACAAGCATATAGGCCAGAAAAACTGAACATTTAAGTCAATACAAATTCCGGAGTGACTGATATTGTCATAATTGATAAAACCACATTTGTACGTTTGTAATTACAATTAGACCGTAAATATCCACGTTCATTCTTCCGCTGTAATTATAGTTACATTGCTAGAAGGCGATTGGTCTGCAATCCCTTGATTCGATGTATATCGTACCAACGGTTCCTTAAACGAAGCTTTCTTTTTTATTGGCATCGGAGTATCATGATTTATAAATGATATTCTATCTAACTCTGTAGTGCTAGAAGTACTTGTTATCACGGTATCATTTTTTTGTCTTAACGGTTTATTTCCGCAATGGAATAAACGAAGCACCTTCTTAGAAGAATATTGGCAACAATTTTGTGTTGGACCAATTGTCACTAAAAGTGATCCCATGAATAATGTGGCATACAACCAACTGACACACATAATAGACAATAAAAATAATCCTATTTGAAAATATGCCAAAACCGAGGAAAACAACATAAAAAAACCCGCACCCGCTGTAGTTAATGCTGCCATAAAAGACGGGCTCATCAAGGACGAAAGAGCGAACCGAGTGGCATCTTCTCGATTATTGGACAAATGTGCTGGACACAACTTGTAACTGATTGAATAATGCAAAGCAAAATCTACAGCTAACCCAATAGCAGTTGATATGGTTATTGATTCCACGATGTTTAAAGTCCATCCGTATAACACCAAACCAGCAATTGTGGTCAATATTGTAAATGTTATAGTTACGGTTGCAATAATTGTAAGTACAATATTTAAAGTACATGCGACTAAAATTGCAGATGTGAGAAGCGTGGACACTACAATTGCAAGTTGTGTTCCTTTATTCAGTTCGCGTTGTAGATCATAATATCCAAGTTCAGATATGAAAAATCCGTCTTTCATATTGGGCGGAGCAGTCAAAAGTTGCAAATTCGTCCATTCGTTAACATCATTATAAAATTTATTAATTTTTGTATAATCCATCGAAAACGATTCGCTGCTATCAAACTCGATTACAACAGCTTTTATTTTTGGCAAATCCTCTTTTGAGAAAATGGCACCTGCAGTACGTGGATATGTTACTAATGCAGGCGACCTATATACTTCACCCACATCATCTATGACACATTTGCTAAAAACACTTCTATTAAATGGAAATGTAGCCTCAGCACAACACGGCCTTAGATCTTTGTAAATAAAAGAATTATTACAAGGTCGTTTCATGCTTTCGACAAAAGATTCGATAAAGCATCTGGTCTGTGATAAATACGTAGGCTTATAAAAGCTTTGTAACTTAACATTTTTGCAGAAGTTCATCATCCATATTTGAGATTCCGGATCTGATATATCAAATTTTTCGTCCAGCTTTAAGGATCCCAAATTTTCAGGATCTAGATGATCACCATTGTCAACAGGAACCACTCCCCAAACAAATCTTAATGGCATATTATTGTCATTAAGGCTTTTGTCGCTCTGTAACAAAACCATATATATTATATTACAAAATATATTATTTTCATGTTTCCCGCCTAATAAAAGCTGCAATATTGGCCTGTATAAATAAAAATATTATTCTCAAACACTAGCGTCCATTCAGTGGAATGAGTAACGTGAGGCACATATTTTCAAATAATACCGGGTGTCGCAATAAGGATGGTAAGCGGCTGTATCTTGGAAAGTATGTGTTGTAGAGTGAACGAAAAAAAAATTGATAACAAACTTTAAAAGAACTTGCTGGAAATTATTTTGAAATTTCTCAGATCACCACAAGATGGCGTAATTGCAAACGGTATTTTAAAAAGTCGATTTTATACAGAAATGGTCCCTATAAGTGAAACATCTAGTAAGTTTAGTCAAAAGATCATAAAAAACCGTACTACTTTCCTTATGAACTTTTTCCTGACTTGTCAAATAAAGCGTGGGGGGAGAGTCTAATCGCTTAATTCAAAGAAACCTGTAACTCCGAAACGGCTTGACCGATTTCAAAGTTTTTACTATCAATTGAAAGAGCAATAAAAACTCTACAATATGTGATATAAAAGCAATCTTAATCATTTTCGAAAAATCCGCTGTTCGAAAAAATGCCTTTTTTTTTATTTTTCACAAAAATTTCAAATACTTCCATCAAGTTATTTTACACGCATTCGAAAGCGCAGGAGAAAATGAACTAAACCGCAAAAACCGCATCCTAAAATAATTTCTGGAATCGATAATACTTGAAAATAATAAAGGTTGCCTAATTCAAATAATTAACGTAGACTTTGGAAGAAAAAATGTTGTTTTATTTTTCCCACTATTTTCAAACTTACCAGATGTTTCACTTATAGGTACAATTCTTACTTTAATTATTTGAGTTAGACAACCCTTATTATTTTCAAGTATTAAATCGGTTCCAGAAATTATTTTGAGATGCGGTTTGGTTCATTTTTTCCTTTGCTTTCGAATGCGTGCAAAATAATTTGATGGTAGCATTTGAAATTTTTGTGAAAAATTAAAACAGAAATTTTTTCGAACAGCGGATTTTTCGAAAATGATTAAGATTGCTTTTATATCACATATTGTAGAGTTTTTATTGCTTTTCAATTGATAGTAAAAACTTTGAAATCGGTCAAGCCGTTTTTGAGTTACAGGTTTCTTTGAATTAAGCGGTTTGACTCTCCCCTTACACTTTATTTGACAAGTCAGGAAAAAAATTCATAAGAAAAGTAGTACGGTTTTTTATGATCTTTTGACTAAACTTACTAGATGTTTCACTGATAGAGATAATTTCTGTATAAAATCGACTTTTTGAAATACCGTTTGCAATTACGCCATCTAGTGGTCATCTGAGAAATTTCAAAATAATTTCCAGCAAATTATTTTCGTCAAGTTTGTTATCAATTTTTTTTCCGATCACTCTACAACACATACATAAATATCAGATTTTAATTTCTGGTTGTTTAAAAGATATTAGACATCCAACATCCACTAATTGCAAAAATGAAGAAATATTGAATCATTTTAATAACCCAGTTAGGTAGCTCAATAATTAACCAGTTGAAAAAGGGAATGTTGAAAGGCAATTGATATAATTTTTTGTGAAACTGGGAATACTGCCCGCGACTCGCGGCTGAATGCAAATTACTCCTTAATGTACTTAAGCCTGTGTCCCATGCATCCGTTTATACGATGGTACGATGATACGAAAGTGTTTCTATTGGTTGGAGATCTGTCAATTCGTCCGCGGTCGGACGAACTGACAAATCTCCAACCAATAGAAACACTTTCGTATCATCGTACCATCGTATAAACGGATGCATGGGACACAGGCTTTACGGTTTCGGTCGTCCGTTTCGACTAGAAACGCGGCGGATCGAGTCGCAGCTAATGCGATTCAACTGGTAAATGGACCAGCCAAATTGCAGTCGTAATTGCGATTTTGGGAAAATGGCTCGTTTAAATCAGGAGGACCGAAGATACCCATCGATTTATGATTACGAAGATAAACATTATAAAATTTGTGTGGAAAAAGAAAATGGATGAAGAAAAATCAGTGGAAAAAAATGGTAGGTAGGTACATTGTATTAGGATTTTTCTTAATGAATTGTTCTTCTTTTTCTCCCCTTCTAATAAAATAAGGGTTAAAAGTTCGACGTCGTCCATCTTTTCAACAGTTTTTTCTCAAATGCACCTCACGAATTGATCTGTTGCGGCTATAGACGCACAGTCGAGTCGCAGTAGCCGATCGCACCACCGAAACCGTACCTTAAACAAGGTCTGTTGGTACGGAGGATACAAAATGTTGATATATATGATTGGGGGCTCCACGTAGAAAATATTTCCTAACTAAAAAAACAACATCCTGGAGCTAAACCCTTTTCATGTTCTATGGTGTCTCAGAACCAGTACCATCCACAAAACACTTGGAATTAGATAATAGTTACAAAAAAACTCAAAATTTGTATCATTTAAACTGTTAACAAAAAACATTTAACAAACTTACCTTCTGCTTTTGAAACAAAAATTTGCTTTTGTAAATAAAATCGTATTTCTCGAAAGGATGTCCTATTCGAAACAACTGAATATCCAGTGAATTAGGTAAAACCAAACCTGGTTTAATAAAAACAACTACTACACTAGCAACTGCTAACGCACTGAAGCAGGTTATCCAGAGATATCGCAACTTTATAACTGCGTTTATTATCCATTCGCCCTTATTATTCCATATTCTCACTGTAACAATAGTCAGTATTAACTACGCTACTCGAAAATAATTCAAATAATATTTTTGATTAGTAGATTGGGACAGCAATACTTCTGAATCGACAAGCTAAGACAGCAAATTCTTGGGAAGAGTTTATGTTGGTTTAACTTAAATCGTTTTACCCCTCTTTAAAAAGGTCATTTGACATCGGTTCGTCGGTTGGGTAATAGCGGGTGATTCAAAAGATTAAGTCGGTGATGAGTATTGAAGTCTCGAAAAAGAAAGCAAATAAACAAAAAAATACAGTCCACTTTTTCTACACGGCGATAATTGTGAATGCATAACAATAAATTTTGTACAAAATACGTACCTAAAAAATTTCCTAAAATCATTGTCCATTTGCCTTTAAAGCAACAGAGTTTACTAATTGTAGGAATAAAACAAGCCAATTTCTTACTGTTACAGCAAGGCTGCTCCCTTACTATCAAGCAAGCTGGAATCCATGAAACACTTAAGACAAAATTTAGTATTATGGCTGTTCCTGTGAATATGCTAAAACATTAATGCAATACTTCAGTAATTTTATGCAGTTCATACCGTTACATTGTTATGTACCTAAAGCAGCTGATCACAGTTACAGAACTGGTATACGATGACCAAAATGCAACCGCAGTTGTTAAGGAAGTAACAAACATGGTTTTAAAGGAATGCTCAAAAGTACCATACATAATTTTGTACAAGTCCTTATTATCGGTCATCTCCAATTTCTTTGAGCTGAATATCTTACATAATATAAATGCGTTGTCAGCTCCCAACCCTTGAAATCAATATAGATAAGCATTTGCTTCTCCAAAACTAAAAAATGTTGTAAACATACCTATGCAAATAATGACGCTGAGCATATTCATGAAAGGAAAAAAATTCACTGCATAAACCACTTGATATAAAAAATAGGTTGCAGTCAACACAATAAATACAGACATTATTGTCATCACAGTTACAAATATTGAGGCTGTATAAACCCATAAACAGACGAACACAAAAAATGCTCCTAATCCCATTAGTCGAGCATCTTTTAAAAGATATTCATCAAAAATGGCACTTTTTATTCCAAATTCCATAGCCACTATGGAAAGTCCTTCAAATTCTGTTCCGAGCCTTTCAAATTCATTAAACAAAGGTTTACTAGCAGTACTGGCAGCAATAGGCAGAAATAAAAGTGTTTCTTCCAGCTTTTGCAATTGATTGTCGGAAGCCTTCAATGTAATAAGATAAAAAAAAATAGAGTTTTATTTTATATTAGTATTAACGATAAATTTTAAAAGGAAAACATAATTCTTTAGACCAGAGTTTCACAAATATAATACTTTGGAAGTCCGAAAACGCACAACACAAAAAGACATAAAAATAGGTGAAGCTTTTTTTTTTGTTTTTATCAAGCTTTGAGAATTAATAGCTTGATTCACGGTAGCGATCCAGAACTGGTTAGGAACTGACCGCATGCGCTTAGAGGCATACGGGGACAGATCGCATGGGCGTAAAGGCTAGCTCCCGGCATCATTATTTTTTTCATTTATTAGCAGGTTAATTTAATTAATTAATTTTGATCAGAACGCCAATGTAAAAATAAACTTGGAATTTCCTACATATGTTAGCAATTTTTCGGCTCAGGGTGAATGGAAACAAAGCAATAAATTTGAATTAAGGAACGGGATGCAGACAAAAGATCGTCGGTTTTACCAATTTTACCACCAACGGCAAATGTACAAAAAATGCAGTGGATTTTTAAAAATCAATTAATTAAAAGCGATAAAAAAACCTCAATAATTTTTTTATTCAAACTAATTAAAAACTGCCACTTTTCGCAGAGAAACCATTATCATAAAAAAACACAGCAATTCCGTCTTTCCACTTTCACTCCATTGCATTTCAGTTTAGGGAAATCACTGTTAGACACAAAGTAACTAAAATCCTGTTGGTGCTACTAAAAGGTGATTCTAAAAGACTTTTTGTATGTGACTGTGAATTATTGCGTACTACGGCTGACTATGTATTTAACGCTCTGAATGATTATTTTAACTGTACGTAACATGTGGAACCGGAACGAAATTAACCGGTGTTTCAGCAAGCGTAATAAATGAAGCACGTAGTTTAATATGAACCCATTGCTGTATATATAGGAGATCCCTAGCTTTCAAACAAATTCCGACATTATTAAAGCCAACCTTATAAAACTCCCACATTTTTTAAGCAATATGTGAAGAAGCAGAGAGTGAGCAAGTTCAACTCCTTTTACATGCAGAAGTTCAATGGCAAACGCGGAGAACATTTTTACTCGGCTTTGTACAGCTTTGATTTTAAATGATAATAAATTTGTGTTCTCTGAACGATTTGCCGATTTTTATGGATTTAATTTTACGCAAAAGCGTACATACTTTTGAAGACGAAGAAAAAATAGGAATCACCATACAAGAATTAAAATTTTGGTCTAAACTTGAGGACGGTTATTTTTTCAAGTTGATTTTCGTCTTTAAATTCGTTTCTAAAATCCTAGGAAGCAAGTTCTGGTGAATATTTTCCGATGCCAACCAATAAGAACTGCTGGATTAGAAATCCGACCGCAACATCAAGAATTGAGAAATTGCAAGTCTTGATTTCCGCATCCGATATGGCAATTCAATTCGGTTTTAGATTAAAATTAATTCGTATTGCAACAAGCTTTCCGAAAATTCTGTGCATTTGGGAAACACTGCTCTAAACTACCAAATACCTACATTTGAAGGAATGGAACTGACGGTAATCAAATAGTTGAAGATAGTAAAAACAGCATCATGTTTTTGGCAATGTGCAGGTATAGTACAAAACCGACAATCTCGTAACTTGTTATTATGAAAATGTATTGCACATTCTTCCAAGATTGATTTTGTTTTATTTACATCCGCTTCCTGGAAGATGATTAACATTTAAAAACACTTAAAATGCAATTAAAACCGTTAAACGTGTTACCGTGATACTTAAACAAGAGTGTTTGTCAAATAATGCTGCAATATAGTTCGGTAAAGACCATGGCTTGCAACATTCCCCATCAATTTCAGTATCGGAAATACATATATCGGGAACAATGTTTAAATTCATTATAAAGTTTTCCAATCTACATAATAATTTCAAATTCTCCCATGTAAACAAATCATTCCCATTATTTGCTTTAATTACTAAATGAACGTAATTTTCTTCTGAAAAATTGATCATTAATGATTAAGAAAAATTGCTTAGTGGACTGACCTGGTCCACCACAGAAACTCTTTGGCTTATGATGTGGCTTAGGAGCGTCTAATTTTTTTAAAGTTCGCCATTTATTTCTAATCTCAGGCTGTCCTGTAGAGGTTATTTCATTTAAGATAATCTGTAAAAAATACTTTTCAATAGACTTACTGTGTTTAAAAACGGCGATTTCAATATATCACTACTTCTAGCTAATATAGATATTGATCTAACCTTCCCATAAACAGTTTTATCTGTACTCTGATCTTGTAACCCATTTTGCTGTTCATGTATATCAGTTTTCGGAGTTGTTCCTGGCGTCTCCTTCATTTTCCCTTTTTGTTTACCCTTCGGCTTTCTAGTTCGCGGTTTAAAAGTTGTTCGAGACATTTCCTTGCCAATTAAAAACTCTTTCGGGTTCTTTACTAAACTCCCTGAAAAACGAACCTCGCGTTGCAAGTTTTCCCAAGCTGTTAGTCGATCCGCTATTATTGTACTTCTTGTTGAAAACCCCTAGGAATTAAGAAAATGTTAGTTTATAATGTTTATATTAAAAGTCTCGCACTACTGTACACCTCAAGATTTCTCCACTTCACAAAGTCGATTTAGTACGTCAGGTTTTGCTTCTGCCTGTGCTTTGCAACTAAATTTGCCGCATTCTTAGAGTAAATGCAGTTATTCAACTTCTAAATAATTTTTTCTCACTTTTCACGACTCATATATCGATTTTTTTTTAATTACTCCGAACCCAGATTCTTCCATTCACATGCTTATCGACGTTTATCAGTGTAATTTAAACCTCTTATTAAGAGGAGGAGCATGTTATATTTTCATTGAGCGCTAACTTTTTTGTATAATAAAGTTCACATTTTCAAACTAAATTAATTATTGGAGTTTCAAATGTTACTTTTAAGAAATGTGTTCCCAATTTGCAAGCATTACCTAGTTTACAATTTTACTAAATCTTCTTTTAGTTAATTTATATCGTTATTATTAAGTTAATTATTGTCGTATAAAAATGGTTTATCTCATTCAGGAGACGGTGGACATTGTATTATCACATTCCGGAAACAGCAGGTGAACAGTGAACATGAAAATCACGTAGATAGATAAATATAAATATGATGATATTTACATATTAAAATTAACTGAATTTCATGGCAAATTGCCCAATTTGACTATTTTAGAAAAAAAAATTTTTTTTATTTTATTTTAGAAAAATAGACAAACTGGACTGTGGATGTCTCCACAGAATGCAACATATCAGCATGATCAGGATCCTATTTTCTTTAGAAACGCAAACTCAGGATGACAATATAAGATTGGGTCTCAACCCAATTTAACTTATGCTCAAGGAATATACAGGGTGTTCGAATAATTCGTTAGAAAAATTGATAAAATTGCTGATAAAAAAATAAAATTGCAAAATACTAGACAAAAAATGTGTTTTTAACAGTGACCATGAATCACATTGACGGTAATGGGATGCAATACATTGTTCATTAATTTTGAATTAATAATAAACAATTGCCAGAACGTGAGAGGATTGCGACCCATCACAAAGGTCTTACTGAATCTCTAAGTCTGTGTGAATACTGTTATACTTTTTAATATTGAGAAATAATTGAAAGTCTCACTATCTTCTGATGGAATGTCTGTTCAGGAATATAACGTCTATAAGATGTTTTAATTTTTTTTTCTACGAGTGCCAAGAATAGTGGCAGAGGACCAAGAGGCTGCCCGCATCATGTAATATTATCAAACAGATTTTGTCGAAGTTAGAGATCTTTTATCACGGGACATATGTTTATTCCTATTCCATCTGATTTCACTCAATACGATATTCACTATTTCCCTTAGCCTAAAGCCCAATATCGAAAACAAAGCAACAATTTAAAAAATCAATCCCGTTCATATTTGGTACACCCTGGAATATACAGAGTGTACCATATATACCTGGAACCGTTTTGATCTACATATGACACAAGCCCAAGTTAGCAACACTCTGTCCTGCAGTTATCACAACTTCATTTTTAAACATGTTCCTTGAACACCCTCAAGTAAATCTTTCCAAGTGAATGTTTGTTTGGTCTACTAGTGATCTACTATTTAACTTTGTACTGTAGAATTGGGAAAACTTTTTCTGAATTAATTATTATAATTTTTAAAAATTATTAATTCATTGTATCCAAAAAATCCCATTTTAACACAGTTCAGAAACAAGCGCCATTGCGTTTCCGCAGGTAACATATGATTCATAAATTACATAAAAAAATTTATACTCATGCAACTTAAGCCTGTGTCCCATGCATCCGTTTATACGATGGTACAATGATACGAAAGTGTTTCTATTGGTTGGAGATCTGTCAATTCGTCCGCCGTCGT